GGGAGACGCGGCCAAAGCCGTGCCAGGGCCTGTGATGGCAGCCAGGGAGTGTGGGCGATCATCGAGTGCCAGCACAGGGCCGTGCCTGGGCTTTGGTTTGGTTTGGTTTACCTCTATAAACACGACCTCTCAGCTGCTTCTGCTAAGGCAATGTCACAGCGATCAGTTACTAGACTGCCGTTAGACAAGAAATAAAGCCTGAGTCTTCAGCTGTGTTCAGGTAGTAATTCAAGATGTGAGAGTTCTGGGTTTGAACTATTCTGTCATCACTGGAAGCACTTTTTATTATCTACTGTGTTATCTAACAAAGAAGGCTCTAATAACACTTGGGTTGCACACAAGCTGTACTCTAGTTCCAAAAGAATTGATTTGCATGTTGATTCAGGTGGAAGTGCCTGGCTGTGCATCTGAAGTGAAGCTAAAACCTTGCCTGGACAAAAAATCCCCACCTTGGCACCTCCCTGTTGGCTGATTTAAGGTCCCCAGTCAGAGGCAGGTGTGCAGCTCTTGGCACACGCTGTCCAGAGAGGTTAGAGCCAGGGGTGGGGGTTCAGAGCACTGGTTCTGTGATCAGGTTCCCTGGATAACCCTAAGAGCAGTCAACTTTAGCTTGTAATACATTCGCTGTTACTATGTAATGGTGTGTGTGAAGTCTGTTACTTAAAAAGAAAAAATGCAGTAATGGAGTAATAAGCTCTTGTTGTAAACAAAAAACTGACAAAGACCACCAGTACCCCAGGCTAAGCAACCTCAGCATCTGCTGTCCGTCTTTTCTGCTGAGAAATATCTGTGGTGTGTACACCTTTTGGACTTCCTACGCAGGCTGCCCTTACACAAATGTGCCAGTACTGAAGTTAGATGAGCATTAATAAAGGGGTAAGTTAGTTCATCTTACTACGGGACAGAAAAGGCTCCCCTTTCCCTTCTCCATCAGAATGTGAGTGGCTTTTCATTGGGTGACTAGCAGACAAGCTTTTGGATTGCTTTCTCCTTGTTTCTTAGACCTGCTCAAATCCATATGAAGTAGTTTTCATGTTTTCTAACATTTTCTAACATTTCTAACATTTCTAACATTCTGTCGTGTTTTCTAACATTTGTGGGCTTTTTGTTAAATTTCTGATAGCTAGAAAAGCAGACTCTTCAGTTCCCATTTTTCTCCCAAGCCACTCTTCTCTGCTAGCATGAATTCAATGAATGGGAAAAACTGCCCAGCTCATACTGATGGCCAGGATTAGTACCTATAGAGACTGGAAATTTGCTAAACAGTAGTGATCAGGATCTGATTGAAGGGTAAAAAAATAAGAAAGGTAACAAGTAATAATCTCAGCAGTCCAGTAGTCTGCACTCAGTTTATGCTGTGAAATCATTTACGAGGGGGAGAAAGAATAGGTGGTGTGTGAATAACTGGACTGTTCAGAGCATTAATGAAGTTGCAATGTGCCTATAGCTTCCCACCTCCACCTATTAGTGCTACTGAATAGACCAGGATGCTGCATGGATGCAGCATGCATGCTACTGAATAGACCAATGACAGAAGAAGCTGTAGAGAGATGTTCCCTTTCAGACACTGAATTTACGTTAGGAGAAGGATGCAGTGTCAAGGTCTATGTGGGCTTTACCCGGTCAATAATGCCTGGTACCCAAAGCAGCTGACAGCGATTTTGAAGAATCACTGTGATCTTTAAAAAAAAGTTATGTCACTGCAAAGTAACATAATTAATAAGATTCTTATGCCATGCAGACTCAGAATGGGCAGGGTGAAGAAGTGGAAAGAATAAATTAGGTATGTAACAAAAGTATCCCAACAACAATAGGATAAGGTCTTGTGATGTTATGAATATAATAATAAGTAATATAATACATGGAAGAAACAGAAAGATGGCAAGGCTTGTTGGGGTCATAGTAACTCCAGAACTGGAAGAAAAACTGAGTCTATTACTAGTTCACTTCTCTGAGCAAGGCTTGTACAACCACACAGGTTCTAAAGCTCATGGATAGGCTGTTCCTCTGAGGGTTGACTGAAGGCTGGGATCATGCTGGGGATTACTGCTTTGCAGCTTCACTGACACTTAGTTTTACACTGAAGTATGGGCAAGTATTTTGTTCTGCAAGATCTCAGTTCTGAGAAGGAAGACAAACCACCTTATTTTCCTGTCTTATATTTTCAGTCAAGGTAATGAGATGGCAATATAACTTACATTTGCAGAGTGTGCTAAATAAAGTAACTACCTAGTAACCTACCCAGCTGAAAGGTCAGTTTTAAATAGGAAATGCTTGATTCAGGTCACGTCAAATTTCACTTTAAAACTGTATGTGGGAACCACATTATGGTTAAACATTTCAAGCTAAAATATTTGTCAAAGATTAAAATGCTTTGCTAATGTGTACATTGCATGCATTAATGTGGGACAAAGTAATCAGCTAAGATTTACAGTGAGTTTAAGTAAAAATGTTGTTACAGACACGCCCCTACTTAAAAGTGATGAGTGTATTTTTGTATACATATATTAAGTCCTCCTTTTTTCCTGCAGACTGTCTATTATAAATACAGAAATGGCTGCTAAGAAAATTTGTTAATAAATTAATAAACTAGTTTTGATTTTAGTGTGGGAGAGAAACATGGGACCCTTACAAACTGTAAAACATGACTGGCATGCATAGCTCAATGACCACTCTCATTCAACATGGTGCCACCATGTTTCCACCAAAATAGGGGCACTTGCTCTCCTTTTTTTTCCCTTAGCCACTCATTTGCAGCACTTAAGCTGTGGTAGCACAAGTGCTTGTGTAAACTTTGATTTGGCAAAAATTGGCTGGATTTGTGTATCTGATTAGCTTATTCTGCAGTGGCTACACAGGGTTGCCCTGTGTTAGTGTGACATTGACTACAAATGTTAAAGTCCTATCCGTACATATAATTACAGTATTCTATATTGAAATGAGACTTTTTGTGACTGAGTGCTTCAGCTTTGCAGGTGGGAACTAAATACTTCACTTCTTGGCAAGTCTTCACACCCATTTCAAAAAAACTGAGAGCTCAAAACATCCTCTCTGACCCAGGCTGACTAGAAAACCCCCAAGTACACCAGTGCTACAGCAACCAGAGAGCAAGTACCACAAAGCAAGCACAGGTGTGGCTTAGCCTAGCAGTGCTAAATGCCACTGTAGCAAAAATGCCACCTGTCATATGAGGAAAGGAATTCATCTCTCCTACCACTGCAGCACAGCAGCCCCAAAAAATCAGCAATGGAGATGCAACAGTAAAGGTAGGGCTGGATGACCCTGTGCAGCCTCAGTTTTACCAGTTGGGAGAAGAAGCAATGAAAGGGGGTGTGTGGTACTCAGTGGACTTCAAAAGTCTTTTTTTTTCCCAGTTTGAATCTGAGTTCTGCATGTTGGTCATGACAGTAGAAGAGTTACTGCTAAGTCCTTTCATGTAAACAGAGAATTAATTTTCTTTCTGCTTACTTCTCCCATGACTTACTGCTCGTTGCTCCTTTAGTATGTGTTAACCAAAGAAAACTACAAGTAATGAAAATGTGCAAACCTGTAAGGAATAAGAAATCCTTCTACTATAGAAAATCATAATTAAAAGAAAAGCTAACCAAGAGCAATAAAATAAAAATATCACAGGCAGGAAGTAGTGAGAAGTCTCAGTGGAGACCTTTACAGAGACAATTGGTGTAAATAATCTTGATCTGAGAAAAGCAGACATAAACATTTTGTAAGAGTAATATGAAGTCTCATGAACATCTTGGAGGAAGCAAGAAAAATGCAGTAATTATATTCAGATACAGCCCTGACCACATTGTTTCTGTATTCCACCAAAGCCTCTCAAACGCATAAGCTCTTTGGTTTTGTTTTTTGTTTTGTTTTTTTTTTTAAAGAAGCGTCATGATACGCACAGTAATGTTGAACCCATTTGCTGTTTTCACAACTGAAGGCAAAATGAACCAGGCCAGTGTTTCACATTCTTGGCATTTTACCGGGCCACCCTTGTAAATCTGAATACAGCGCTCTGCAGCTCTGGCACACTGTGGTCAGCTTTGGAGTGCATCTCTATTGGGGCTACAAGGGAAATCCAGCCGCACATATACACTGGCCTGTTTCTGGAGGCAACCATACCAGTGCCCCCATCTTCACTACTTTGATCTCGCCAGCAGCTCAGTTGAGACACTGAATTTGGCACATACCCAGACACTTTGGTCTCCAGGCACACTACATCCCAGATACAAGGATACATGGCAGCGGGTTGCAGATGCCCACAGTTGAACTTCAACCTGCTTGGACAAGCATCTCATTAATACACGTTAATATCTCACATCCTCCAAGAGGATGGTACCAGACCATTTTTAGTGGTGCTCAGCAACAGGAAAAGGAGCAATGCCTGTAAACTAAAACACAAGAAGTTTCACCTTAACATGAGGAAGAACTTTACATAAGGGTGGTAGAGAAGTGAACAGACTGCCTAGGGAAGTTGTGGAGTCTCCCTCTCTGGAGACATTCAACACGCACCTGGAAGTGTTCCTGTGTCACCTGTTCCAGGAGACCCTGCCTTAGCAGGGGGCTGAACTGGATGATCTCCAGAGGTCCCTCCCAACCCTAATGATCCTGTGATTCTGTGAAGGTGTTTCTCCTCACTTCAGGGGCCATCTCGGCACAAGGCTCGGCTGGAACACGCTTTCCTGGAGCCCTTGATTTGAACAGCAGGATAAGAACCCGCTTAATGACCTGTGAGATCCCGTTCGCCTTTTAACAACTGGGACTTCCAGAATGACGTTGTTTGCTTAAACCGCTGCGATCTCACACACCTCGTGACCCACCTCCAAAACAACAGCTGATTTACGATTGTAAAATACAGCTATTGTCGGGGGGAGGGAACAAAAACAAAGAAAAAGCAAGCCCGGACAAAACCCACGCCCTGGACCTTTCCGCTACTTTGTCCTCCCCGCCGGCCCGTAGGATCCCTCAGCGCTCCCGTGACGCGCAGGCGCGGCGGTGCCGGCCGGGCGGGCGGATGGCGGCGGGGCCGTGATGCTGCGCTGGTTCGTGGCCCTGCTCAGCCCCTGCTTCGCCACCAAGGCCGGCTCCATGTTCTACGCGGTGCGCTCGGGCCGCCGCACCGGCGTCTACCGCACCTGGTGAGCGACGGTCGCGCCGGGAGCCCGCCCCGCCCGGCCCGGCCGCGCCTCACCGCCGCCCGCTCTGTTTCAGGGCGGAATGCCAGGAGCAGGTGAACAAGTTCCCCTCCGCCAGCTTCAAGAAGTTCGCCAGCGAGAAGGACGCCTGGGCCTTCGTACGCGGCGGGCCCTCGGGGCAGCAGCAGCCCCAGCCCGAGCTGGCAGGTACCGCGTCCCGCCGGGGCTGAGGGAGGGGCGGGAGCGGGACAGGGCCCGGCCTGCCCGGGCTGCACGGCCGCTGTGCCGGGACGGGCACCGGCTCCGGCTCCTGCTCGTCCTGTCACTGGCGGTACCGACACGGCGATGGATGTGCCAGTGCAGCGAAGGTGCTTCTGTGGCTGCTTGGACAACAGTGCTTGTACCGTCTCCGTCTTAAGGGCCGTTGCATGTATGTGTCTCCTCTTCAGTTTGATCTAGGCTGAAGAATGACTGCTGTAATCTGTAGTACTTTTTTTCCGGGGTGGTGTCAGGTAACAAAGTAACATTGCTAAGAGATGATAACCACTGTTGTCTTTAGAATTAGTCCAAATAAAACTGCATCTTGTATGTGTTGAACTTTCTATCTTTTTTGTTTTTTGGAAGGTGCACTTTGTCTTCCGGCTGTAACACAGGAAAATGGTAGCCAGAGAGAGGAACTAAAATCCTTGTGTTGCACTACGTGCAAAAGGCCATATGAGCAGTCTACAAATGAAGAACAGGTTGCTAAGCGTGTAAAACATGATGAATTATTCTCAACATACTCAACACCAACAGTCAGTGAAGATAAATTTTCATATATGGGTGAGGTCTTTGATAAGTCCTTTAATTATTTTAATTTCTTTGCACTCTTTCATAAGCAACAAGTGTAACTATTAGAAAGCTTTCAGGGAGGTTTCTGTATGGCAGCATTAGGCCCACTGTTTCTTTTTAAAATGGAAATGTGAACCGTAATCTACTATTTCACATTGTCTTTCAGTGTAATTTTAATTGGCTTCAACTGGAATCAAGATACAGTTTAATTATATCATTATAGGTGTGATCTTATGTGTGTCTGGGTTACAGACTGTATTTAAATACACAGATGTAGCTTGGAACTTTTGAGGTTGGCTGAAGAAGACAGGGACTATTGTGAGAAGTATGGGACTTGGGACAGAAGCTGTTTTAAGGCTGACTAGTTTGACAGCAGTGAGGGTGTGAAGCTGCAGTGGAACTTCTGGTGTTCTGCACTACTAATTCACCTGGCTTCTGTAATTAACTTTTGGAAGGGCTCTCTGGGAAGGAAACTTTTGGGGTTTAATGTGCCAGCAGACATTTCTTTCAGCTTAAAGAGTCTGTGTCCTTGAAGGGGTGCTTTAACTTCTGATTTTGGTAATTTTTTTGTAGGTGACTTTGTAGTTGTTTATACAGATGGTTGTTGCTCAGGTAATGGACGTAATAGGGCACGTGCTGGAATAGGTGTCTACTGGGGACCAGGCCACCCTTTGTAAGTAGCTGGATAGATTTTTTTTTTATTTTAATGAATATATTACTGTTTGGTTTTATGTAGTTTACAATACTAGCCTCCTTTTAAATATGAAACTCTGCTGTTGAGACTCAATGACAGTGTTCTTAGACTAATAAGTTGCTGTGGGTAAAAGAGAAATCATCTTTTCTGGGAAAAATCAACTGGAAATAATATTTTATGGGGCTGAAGCTATAATTCGAGTAATGCAGAAAGTTTTAAAATAGAAGTACATGTGCATGGAAGACTATGAATGTAATTGCATATTGATGGCAGGTCCAAATGTGCAGATTGCTCTGTCCATGTGGAAGCTAGAGCTAGACTATAGTCATCCTCCTTTACGAAAAGAAAAGTATCTCTCTTCTATTATTTTTTTTAATGTGTAGTCATTATCCGCTCTTGTGAATATTTGGGGTAACTAATCTACTGTTCATTCCTTGGACACAGAAATACCAGTGAAAGACTTCCTGGACGGCAGACTAATCAAAGAGCAGAAATACATGTAAGTAGTAAATGTTCTGAAATGCTTCTCCACCTTAGATTGCAGTAGCACACTCATCACTGTTTCAACTCTGATCTTCAGAAGCTGGTTATGGAGTGGTGAGGGAAGTACACAAAGTATCCAGAGTTATGACTTGAAAGAAATAGTTCTCTTCAAGTTTTATTGGTCTTTATTGGTTTTGAACAAGGTAATTCACCTTGAGAATTCCTAAATGTCATCAAGCACAGCTATTTAAAACAGCCTTACATTAGGAAAGCCTGGCTCAAATATGTATAGGTTGCCTTGCATTTTTAATGTGTATGTTTCAGACTTTGGAGTAAGGGCTGCTGAGTAGAGGTTAAGGGGAGAATCAGCTTCTGAGGATGATAGGATCAGAGTGTCATAATCCTCAGGTAAATATAACACACAGTTCTAGGCTTCTGACTAACTTCTGTTGGCAACAGCAGATTTAGTCTTCCCTTCTCACCTCCTTTTAATTATGGTACTGCTACTATCCCACACTACAAGTTTGGGAAAGAACTCAAATGGGGAATTGATCTTAAAAGTACAAGAAGTTAATTTTAGTGAGAGACAAGTGGAGGTGGTGTTGGTGTGCCAGCAGTCAAACTTGTCACTAAAGAGCTTTTCACCTCTACATTCTCACCCAGCCACATCTCCCTGTTATATTTCAGAGCACCAAATAAAACCCCAACCTGTTAAGAGTTCCAGACTGTGAATCCTTCCTCCTAGCTAAGGAGAAAATGCCTAAAACTTGGTGTGCAGTTGATAGAGGTTGCGTTAGAAAATGGAGCAGAGAGCTGTTCCTTTGGCACAGAGTTGAACATCAGAATGTTTTGTGGGCTTTTTGCCAGTGCAACTTAAAAACCTGCCTCTTTGCCTGAATCATAAAGGTGTCATCTGCATGCATAATTTTGGATCCACTACTCTAAAGCATGTCGGTAACCGTGGGTAGGGAGATTACAGTAATACTCCCCATAGTTCTATGTTGGCATCAGGTACTTTGTTGGTATTTTAATTGCATGTGGTCAAAATTCTGTTCTTAACTGTGACTGTATTGAAACATTCCTAAGGCAGCCTGCAAAGCGATAGAGCAAGCCAAGAGTCAAAACATCAAGAAACTGATCATCTACACTGATAGCAAGTTCACTATTAACGGTAAGTTATTTTATTTTTCCTGATACTTAAAGACACACTGCTTGCTCTTTCATTACATAAGGCCCACGGAACATGCTGAGTCCTGGAGAGAGGGATATAAGGACAGAATGTATAACTTAGCGCTCATAACTGCTCGGGGAAATATTTCGAATCCTCAGGCATTGCCTGCATGAATTACGAGTAGCGTCAAAGTGCCTGTTACAGTAAAGGCTGACAGAAGTAGCCACAGGATTTTTGTCTTGAGATGTTCAGTATGGCACAAGGTCTAGAAAAAATGTCATTCATGTATACACTGTTAAGGCTTTCTCAGGAGATTACTTGGAAGTTGGTGTAGTAACCCTATAGGTTTCTTGTTGTTTTGCTTGGATTGGAGAGGCTGTCTTAACACGCATGTTGAAGTTCCCTTGCTTCCAAGCTTTTAGGCTACACTGGAAGACTAGGCAGAGATGATATGTGCTCAGAGTAGGTACTGAAAGTTTCACCTTTATCCAAAGACTTGGAAAATTTAATTTTATTCCTTATAAATACCATATGAAGCAGCCAATAAGAACTTAATTTCTGAATAAAACTTCTTCCTCTTTCCTCTACATTCCATCTATACTCGAGATCTTCAGATTTTGCTCCCGCGATAATCTGAACTGCATATGTATTTTTTTCTTTGTATGTCACAATTTTACAAAGGGAGTACATGTGTTTTCTGTTTTCAGATCATTTTGGAGGTTTTATTTTATGGGGTTTTTTTGAAATAACATTAAACAAAAACTTTTGATTAAAAATTAAATGTTGTGCTTTTACTCTTTGTTTTTGCTTGCAATTTGCTCTTGCATTCTGGGTCACTGAGGTGCAGGTTCCATTCTTGTTTAACTGAAGTTATTCTGCAAATGTGTCTAAGAGTTATTTTTTAAAATGCTGGAGAAGGAGGCTTGTTAAATACAAATGGATGTGGTTTGGTTTTTAGGAGGTTTTGTTTGCAAGATTGGTGACTTCCTATTTGGTTCAGGTCAGCTTGTCATAAAAACAGTAAGGATGTCTTACATTGTCCACACCAGCAAAGATCTTAAAGAAAAATAAAAAAGGATCCTTATTTAAGGAGTAATATAGTAAATTTTCTGGCCAGCAAGGGATGGACAGAATGTTAAGTTCTGTAGAACTGTGCTTACCTGGTCCTTCTCTGAAGGATTCTTTTTAGTGTACAGAAGCCATAAAACAGCTGGCCATCCATCTTTCCCCTATGCATGTGTCTCCTCAATTTCTCTAAACAAACAAGGCAGCAGATCTGTTCTAGCTTACTGTACCATCAAGCATATCCTTAGCTTCAGTTGACTGAAGTTCATGAGATAATTTTGGTGTAATGCATGTATAAGATTGTAGTTTTTAAATTAAATACCTGTTTGGGAAAACATGTTTCCGTAATTCAATTAATAATGGAAAAATACAGTCCTGAAAGACAGCAATAGAGAACCAAACAAGAATATCTTCTATCTCCACTGTCTTTGCCTGAGACTTTTACAGAGTTATTGTCTTATTAAAAGGCTATTGGATCCATCTTGATGCTTGCTGGCTTCCTTAATAGCATTTTTATGGTGATGCTCCCTTTACATGATAATCCCTTTACAGGTATTACAAGTTGGGTTGACAACTGGAAGACAAATGGCTGGAGAACAAGTTCAGGAGGAAGTGTAATAAATAAAGAAGATTTTGAAAGACTTGATAAGCTATCAAAAGACATAGAAATTCAGTGGGTAAGTTCCTCATTTCTTATTTTTAATGACATCTTAAACACGCGTCTTTTAAAACCTTATAAGTATGACCATAACTAAGTATTTTCTAGAGCATAATATTGTATATCCATAGATAAAACCATAAATACAGGGAAGCTGCTTTTTATATTTAAAGCAAATTAGCAACATATTCTAGATTCTTGGAACCAGTATTTCATTTATTTAAAAGAATGTTTATATTTCTTTCTGTCTCTTATTACTACTTAGAAAATGCCTGCCATAGTTATTTTTAGTTTGTTAATGCTGGTAGCAGATGAAACTTCTGTTCCTGAAAATCTGACCTTAAAACATAACTGTGTCTTTTTGTGTCATCGCTGAATTTCTAGATTTGCTTTTCAGAACTCTCTGAGATGCTGCTTCATTGGAGTAACTCAATCACAGTTAAAAACTGTTAAAAATTGTTTAAACTGGGAAAACTGAGAGTGTGTTACCCAAATAAACTGACTCTAGTTTTCTATACCTTAACTGTGTTTCTTCTAAGAAAAATTGGTACAGAAAGCTCTTTAAAACAACTATTTTTAAATTGTTTTGCTCTCCAGTAAAGAGGTAAACCAACTTCTGTACAGGTATTTCTGGTAAAATGTATTTTTCTGTAACCTTTTAACATCAGTGCTTAACATTGTAGGGAATATCTTCCCTCTTCTCCTTCTAACTTTTAGCCTAAATGTGGTATAAGACCACTGCCTCTAGAAATAGATCTGTGTACCGTTGACTTTGCAGCTGCTAGTTGAATATTTACTGGGCTTCTGTCTTTACCCTTTAGAAAACAGGATCACGTAGATCTTTAATGTGTGCTTTTTCTATGGGAAATCTACTGCAGATACTCTTCTGTTCATGCTGTTCTCTGTTACAGAGTTGGTGACTCCAATTTTAAGGCTGACTAGATTTTATATAACTACTCCTATTAGCTGTTGAGGAGAAGAAAGTGTACAAATTTAAAACTAAGACTAATTAAGACCAACTAAGTTCAGTTGCTCGTGGAGTATTTTACATAGTTAAGATACTGCTTTATGTACACTTCTTAAACCTGAATCTCTTAAACTCAGGAAGGGTTTTGTTTCAGGAGGAGCGCTGTGTGCCTGTACATCATTATAGTAATCCATTTGCTGAGGTGTGGGGTTCTCCATGGGCTGCAGGTGGATCTCTGTTCCACCAAGGACCTCCAGGGGTTCATGGGCACAGCTGCCTCTCCATGGGCTGCATCGCAGGCTGCAGAGGAATCTGTTACAGTGCCTGGAGCAGCTCCTCCCTCTCTTTCTGTAATAACCTTGGTGTCTGCGGGGTTGTTCCTCTCATGTATTCTCACTCCTCTCTGGCTGGTGTGAAGCATTTTTGCTATTTCTTGAACATGTTATTACAGAAGAGCCACCAGCTTTGCAGATGGGCTCAGTTGTGTCTAACCATGGGTCCATTTTGGAGCTGTCTGGATCTGACTCTCTCTGATGTGGGTATCTTTTCACAGAAGCCAACCCCTGGCTGGTACCCACTTGGTACCAAAACATTGCCATGTAAACCTAATACCATCTCACACACACTTCATGCTTGTCTCCTCTCAGATCTTGTCAAATAGCAAGCTTGATTTTAATTCCTCACCTTCCTCCACCACCCTTAGTTCTGACAAGGATGGGCTTAGGTTTGAAAGTTTTTTGAGTTCCTAATTGAAGGATGAACAGGTAAAACATCTGAAATTTGAGAGATTCTTTTAATACCCTGTTTCTGTATCCTAAGTGAGTGCTGATCGCCAGCGCTGTTAGTGGAATAGAGAGCTCCTGGCTTTTGGGGGAAGATTAACTCAGTTTAAGTACTGAATGCTGATAGGTTTTTTTCTCTTCTCCAAAACTGGGAATTTTGAATTGCAGCTGTCGTCTGCATTTCTTAAAGGCTAGGTTAGGTGGTCCTTATCCAATTCACTACTTCTCATAAAGATGATCTTCAAAATTTGGCAAGACTTTCCTTCAAGAAGAGAAACTATGGAAATCCCTGGGAAGAACAGCTAAGGGCTAAATGTGAGGTGAGGGCCTCTGAGGAGGTGGTGCTGTACTATGAATGAAAGGGTGTTGTGTGATCAAATTTCATGTATATACTTTCTGCTTGGTTTCTTGCATATCTAATACTCCTAAATTTTGTCCTGACAGATGCATATTCCTGGCCATGCTGGCTTCCAAGGAAATGAAGAAGCTGATAGACTAGCAAGAGAAGGAGCTTGTAAACAAAAGTGCTGATGTACTGGGACTAGAGACTGTTGCAGTGGGAGGAAGAGGCCTAACATGACAGCAGCAGCTTGAGCTGCTGTAATTGTTTCAGAATTGAACTTTGAACTGTACTTTATTCTGGCCTGAAGCACTAAATATATACCAACTTCTGGGAAGAAAAACATGCATTTCCTTCTATTGCATTTGTTTTACAATTGAGACAATATTTAATTGATATTGCATATTTGGGTTTATTTCATTTTATGGAAAGGGCTGTGGGGTCAACGTTCTTGTAGACTTACGAATTCACCATGAAGACAGACTTCTAAAGGAGTAATATTAAATAGAAGTGTTCTGTATTTTTCTCTTAGCAAAATAAATTATTTTTTTGTACAGACATATATATTGCAGCCCAAAATAGCTGGGGGCAGGGGGACTTTGGTTGATTTGGTAAGAGGTTACCTAACACAGCGATGTCCACTGATCCACTTTGGCATTCTGGTGTGGCAGCATCTGCCTCACAGATGGGCTTGTAACGCTCACCTTTGTGTGCCTCACAGTAACATCTGTTACAGCACCTGTAGATTTCTTTGTCATGTTACTTTGCAAGATAGAATGAACAAAGTAAAAAGCCAGGTCACAAGAAAACTTGGACAATGAATTTTTACTGTTCTCCTCTCTCTACCTGCTTCATGTCCAAGCTCTTTGTCTCTGGCTTCCTGTTTCCATTAAGTAGGTTTTTTTATGCATACTGGTTCTTATTAGCATTGTTAGTTCCTCTTCAGTGTTGTTCCAAAGGTCATTTTATCTGAAATAGAACTAGAAGATGATCAGCTTCTCCAGATCTACCAGATGTCAAGTGTTTGACTTCATTTTTTCCAGAAAATGCTGAGATTAATGGAATGGCTAATATGCACTTGAACGGGAGAGTCATTACCAGTAATCAATATAGTTTTCTTTTTTGTGCAAGTGTAGAAGGAAGAGCAAACAGGTTTGGTGTGTTATTTGGGTCAACTTCTCTGTACGGTACCTTTGTACCATTAAATAGTAGGGCTTAAAGCTTGAAGTCACTGAAGTGGATTTGTATTTGTTAATTGCTATACAGAATGGTTAGAGCTGCAGAAGCTTGTTACTTAGTAAAGATAATGCAAGAGAACTATTGAGGCAAAGTATGAGGTCTTCTGTATTCAGTCACACAGACTGTGGTAGAAGGCAGAAACTGGCTAGCTAGTAGTTAGGAAATAAGTAAAGATTTTTACTTTTTTTCTCTCATCCAAACCTGCACAGTAAAGGTCATCTAGGGGTAAGGAGATCACTGATTAGATTTTCCCCTCTGCTTCTTTCGTGTGTATGCACACAATTACGTGTTCATTTACTTGAAAAGTTTGGCTTGAAGGAAAATACCCTGTTACCCCATATTAGATCTCCAGTTGAGGCAGAAAAATGTGACAAGCAGTGTACTGAAGAGGTGGGATCTAATAACCTGCGTATCATACATCTTTAGCTAAACATGTACATCCTATTTGCTGTATGGAAATCCTATTTTTTTGAAGGAGAAGCTTTGGAAAAAATGTAGGTAATGGTTGGTAAGTCATTACAACTGTGTAATACTGAATTCAAGCAACTTGATTACCTGAATCTAATAGGTAGATTCTAATAGAAAATCTAATAGGAAAGAGTTTTATATTAATTTGATACCAATGTTTATTTTTCTTACTCTGGAAATTCAGGACAGAAGAAAGCCAAGCAGAAAGTTACAAGATTTAAGCTGATTAAAGGACAGAAAGCAAACGGTATTTCTTAACAGGGGCTTGAGGGCCCACAGAGGATGTTGGACGTTCAAGATATTCTTTTCAGGGCACTAGAACTTCAGTAGGGTATTGGCAGTTAGCAGCCATGACATTCAGTGGATTGACACTGAACTGGCTGGATTTGTATGTGCTTCTAAAAATGTTGGGAATACCAGCATTAGATCAGTTTATCTGTAGTGTTATGGGAGTTGCAGTTAAATTTATTCCAGAATTGCTAGAATCATAGAATGGTTTGGATTAGAAGAGACCTTAAAGATCATATAGTTCCAGCCTCCCTGCCATGGGCAGGGACATCTTCCACTAGACCAGGCTGCTCACAGCCCCAACCAGCCTGGCCTTGAGCACTACTAGAGATGGAGAATCCACACATTCTCTGGGCAACCTGTTCTAGTGCCTCACCACCCTCACAGTAAAGAATTTCTTCCTAGTGTCTAATCTAAACCTACTCTGTTTTGAAGACTGATACCAGGGGTTACCCTGACCCAGGTGCACCACCTTACACTTGATCTTATTGAAGCTCAGGATATTCCCATGAACCCAATTCTGGAACTTGTCCAGGTCCCTCTGGATGGCCTCCCGTTCTTCAGGTGTGTCAACTGCACCACTCAGCTTAGTGTCATCTGCAAATTTGCTGAAGGTGTACTTCATCCCTTTATCCATGTAATTAATGAAGATATTAAATAAAAGCAGTCCCAATATGGACCCCTGAGGGACACTACTTGTCACTGATGTCAGTCAGGACTCCGAGCCATTGACCACTACTCTGGATGCAACCATCCAACTAATTTCTTATCCGTATAACAGTCCACCACTCAAATCCATCTCTCACCAATTTAGAGAGAAGAAGGTTTTGGAGGATCATGTCAAAGGCTTTACAGAATTCAGATAGATGGCATCTGTATTTTGTACACTGATGTAGTCGCCCCTCCCCCCCCCCCCATAGGAGGCCACTGGGTTAGTCAGGCAGGACTTGCCTTGGTGAAAGCCATGTTGGCTGTCTCAAATCACTTCCCTGTCCTCCATGTGCCTTAGCACATCTAGGAGGACCTGCTTGATAACCTGAGGTGCTTAAACATGAATACTATACATTAAAAGGATCTGGTACCTTTCATAAGAATCTGAATAGTAGTGGTTAAGACACTGTAAGTATAAAACTCGTTTTAGGAAGAAAAAATACAAGGAGGTATTGTTTTTCAGTTGTTTGTCCATCCTTATATCGCGTTTTGCTGGCTGTTGGTTTATTTACCGTTTTTTCCTTTTTTTCCCCCTGATTAATTTTTTACTTTTCCATGTTGTGGGGTTGCAATGCAGGTCTTTGAGTCTTACCAGTAAGATCAGTCAGAAGATTGCGGCCAGAGCAGACAAGATGCAAACACGGTCACTGTTCGGTCGGGGCTGCAACCAGCACGTTACCGCGGGGGGCTGGTGAGACGCCTCCTCGCTCGGGGAGACCTCTTCTCCCCCTGCCTGAAGCTGTACACCAAAACGAAAGCTGCACGCTACGCAATGCACCTTATTCCGCACGTTTTGAGCTGCCAGGGTGCCCTTTAAGGCTCTCCCACAGGCCGCGGGGCGGGCCCGTCCCGCTCCCTGCCCGGCCTTGGAGCCCCGCGGGGCGGGCTCTTCCCTATCCCGGCGCGGCCCGGCGGAGCGCTCCGGCGGCGGGATGGTGCAGGCCTGGTACATGGATGAGTCCCAGGAGGACCAGCGGGCACCCCACCGGCAGCAGCCGAACCGCGCCGTCAGCCTGGAGCAGCTGCGCCGCCTCGGCGTCGTGTACCGCCGGGTACGGGCCGGGAGAGCCCGAGGGGATCGGGGCTGACCCGGGGGGATCGGGGCTGGCCCGGCGGGGATCAAGCAGCGAGCGCGGCCGCTGGGACGTGTCGCCCGGCGGAGGGGAGGCCCGGGTGCAGGTACCCAGTGTCCCTGAGGCAGCCCTGCCCTAGGGCGACAGGCGCTCAAGACACCTGGGGGTGTCTTGAATTCAGTGCCCTGAATTGCGTTTTGAGCAATGGGGTCCGAATGTTTGTTTTTTTGTCTTTCATTCCCCTCGCCTGGTTTTCAGTTGGATGCTGATAACTATGAGACCGATCCATGCCTGAAAGAGATCCGGAGAGCAGAAAATTATTCTTGGATGGATATAGTGACCATACATAAAGACAAGCTTCCAAATTACGAGGAGAAGGTACGCGGGTGTTCGGCTGCAGTGCGGGTTTCCTCGCCGCGTCTGCGGCTGCAGTGTGCAGCCAACTTCTGACACCGGCACACCCCAGCGGGGCACTGGGATGACACTTCCAGGGCTAAAATACATCCTGTACCCAAGTCCTTTACATTAACAAAGCACTTTTGATATTATATAAAGATAGCAGAGGCCTTTTGCTTCCATAGATTGCCTTTTAAGGATCGTTTCCATCACTCTCATTTGAAAACTAAGATTCCTATTTAGGAGAGCCCCCCTCAGTGCTGACCTGTCCTCAGAGAGCCTCTCTGGGATGAAGGCAAGTGTTACCATCTGGGCATAGACTTTGAAGGCTAAAACATCCTAATGGCTTCTTGCATAACACGTCTTTTTAAGTAAATGTCAACCCCATGAAATTGGAGGGATACATTCCCTATACAAGAAGATTTTTTACCTTGGGAAGCTGGTACCTTGACTATTTCATATTCATATTTCATATTCAGCTGAATGCAAAGGGTGCCAGCCTCTCAGGTGAGCCTCCTAGAAGGAGATTTCTCATCCCAGCCTCTACGTGATGGCTTGTTGCTCTGACCAGTGACACTTCAATATTTTTATTAAATTTCCATTTACCAGTTTGTTTTAAGCCCATTGTGTACTACTGGTTTTTAATTGATGAGAAGGTGAGTCAGGTAGTAACTCAGATTGCTGGGAAGGCATTACCTGACGCAAAGATGGGCCATTATTTACTGGACACAGGGACTTTTGCTCATCTTGCCATGCTGGATCAGTTCTGGCTCAAGGACACCTGTACAAGTGTGGCTAAATATCATGCAAACCTGAGGAGGGGGTGATGGTACCTGGCATTGCACTGCTCTCTGCACTAACCCACTCAGGTCTCTATTAATTGAACCCTTAAAACATGTTTTGTATTCTGTGTATGTATGAAGAACTCACCAGAGAAAACGAGAATGTCACTGCTGCTGCCTGCGAGGAGAGTGCCTGGAGATGGGGCTCACTGTGTGTGGGGAGGTGTGACATACTGTTTACATCAGATTGCTGTAGATGGGCCATGTTTGGCAATAACTGCACTTTCACAGACAGCTGTAGTACCCCATGCAGCTAATTCAGCCCTATACAAGTATAAAAGAGGCGGGATAATCTGTAGCTTTGTTTTGGCTTTGCATGTTGGGAATAAAAAGGCACAAAATTACCAAACTGAACAAGTGCAAAGACCAAATCCTTGCAGTGGGAAGTTTTACCCATCTCTCTCTGAAACAGGTATCAGCATTACTGTTATTCAGAGAATAGTTATGTGCAGCTAGAGCTGCTGTTTCATGTCAGAAATTCCTGTCTTCCAAAGGAAATGCAGCAGCCTGCTTAGAAGTGTCCTGAGATAGAGTCTGTCTGTCTGGCTCGGCCATGTTAACAATGTTGGTTTCCTCTGTTAGTTAAAATACAGTTACCCTTTGAAAGCCTTTCTCTGCTCTGCTGTGTGTTTCTAGCAGATTTCTTTGCGGTTTTCCTGCATTCAGTAGTTTTAAGAAATACTTGCTATTCCTAGATAAAAACATTTTATGAAGAACATTTACACCTAGACGATGAAATTCGCTACATCTTAGATGGATCTGGCTATTTTGATGTTCGAGACAAGGATGACAAATGGATCCGGATTTCCATGGAGAAAGGAGACATGATAACCCTCCCTGCCGGCATATATCACCGATTTACACTGGATGAGAACGTATGTTGTTGTAGATTACCGTAAATTTTGATGACAAATCCATGTGAGTATATATCACATTAGTAACTACATGCCCTGAGACTTGCAGTTCATTAGGAAAACATATTAAATATGAAGTAGGAGTGTGAAAAATACTAAATAATTTATAGCATCTGAACCTTTCATCTCCAGGTCACAAATCCAGCTGCTTCTAGTCAGCTGTAACTGCAAGTCATTGCCACGTGACATCTGGAGCATATCTGGCGTGACAGCAGCCAAGCCCTGCGGCTGTCCCTCCCACAATTGCCCCTGCTGTCTGTTGAGGTGGAGATGGTGTAGATGGATCCTTCTGTGTTGCCTTGTTGCGTGTTTTTGAGGGAATAGAAAAGCATATCTGTGTCCAGCAGTGGCACTTCTCATGAGTGTTACATTCACCTTCAGGGAAAGAAGGATTTAAGGATCCAGAGCCACTACTTGCAGTTACTGTGTGCTAAAGTGGATGCTGGCTTCACAGCAGGTGACCTGCTTTGGGAAGGTATTTTTGGCACTGGGAGCGTGAGATTGGCACATGTAGTCCTGATATGTGTTTGTGTTCTTGTGGACTTTTATAAACTTGTCTGTAACCTCAGAATTGTCCCTGCAAAATGGGGAAACGTGTGCTGTCTTCTGCTTGGCAAAATCCCATCTCTGGAAAAGTCTTGAGAATGGTATTGTTTTTAATCAGCTGTCCAGATAGCAGTTATCATACAGAGAGAGATGCTGCTTTTATGAAAAAACTGATTTTTTCCCATCTGCAGCTTGAGATCCACAATGAATCAGCTACATTTACTATTTTTAGACTTTTTCTTTACATAGACAAAATGTCAGGGGTTATGGTTGAATCCACAAGAAGTGTTAAATGTTTGTTCACTCCAGAATCTTTAGTACAGAAGTGCCATCTTCAAAGTAAATTCTTTAAGTGCTTCTAGACCCTTACATTTTACAGCTAAGTTCTTTCGGTATCTAACTTTATTTTTGCCATTGCTGAGCACCTGGGTGCAAGACAAGCATTTATCAGTTTTACAAAATAGGTAGAGTCTAAATGGGTAGCATCGAGGACAGAAGAGGAGGGTTCTCCATAACTATGGTTGGAGCACTTCTGCAGGATATAAAATCCCATTTTCTGCTGCCACAGCTGTACCTTGCACCAGGCGTACTTTTGGTTAGCTGGTGGTAGAGGCTGTTGCTTTTCCTGTTGGAATCAGGAGAATTTTTCACTTCCTGTAAGCATTATTTTTTGGCTCCGTTCAGTTTTTATGGGTCTGACTTCAAAGCTTCTGGTATTCCCCAAAAGCACTGTGTATCCATCTTGGGTATTCTGATTGCTGCTGTTTATCTAAGCAAATAGGATTTAGATGCTGCGTTGCTCAGTATTGTGGATCCTCTGCAAAAGGTTTGCATAAGACAGGATTTTTTTTGTTTTCTTTGAAACAGGGAGGAGTACTGTCCCTGCCTGAACTGGAGGCACTGGTCATGACACAATATATCACAGCAGTACATGGGAGCCGGAACAGCAGTGTAGTGGTATAATTTTCTGGAATGTATGAAGCTTTCAGTCCATCATAAAATGGTTTCAAAATTTTCTGCAGAAGTGCAAACGAAACCTTAACTTCAGAATGAAGATCTCTTGAAAAGGAGCTCTTAAATTACTTGTCACTTTTTGTTCTTTGGCAGAACTATGTGAAGGCAATGAGGCTGTTTGTTGGAGAACCTGTCTGGACAGCGTACAACAGGCCGGCTGATGACTTCCCTGCTCGGAAACAGTATATGAAATTTTTGGCTGACGAAGCACAGTAATGGTGTCTGAGACCTGACAGGTGGAACAGCCTGAAGCCCTGTCAGAATAAATGTGCCTAGTGGCTTTTCACTGATTAAACTTCTATTTATACAGGCAACTGGAATCAGAGAATCATAGAAAAATTTAGATTGACGGATTATTTGGAAATCATTTAATCCAATCCTGTGAAATACTATGCAAGTTTTAAAGCTAGACCAAGTCGCTCAAGACCCTGAGGTTTCCAAACCTGGTGGTGAAGGTTCCACTGCTGTCTGGGTGCCCATTTCAGCACTTAGCTGCTCCAATGGCCAAGCATTTTTTCTTCATGGCCAACTCCCTGGTGGCAGTTTGCAGTTATAGTCTCTTGCCCTTTCATTTAATGCCTGAGAAGAGTCTGGCTCTGTCTTCTCCACAGTCCCTGCTCTAGTGGGAAACTGTAGTTAGGTCTCCTCTAAGCCTTCCCTTCTCCAGGCTGGACAAACCAGTGCCCTTGGCTGGGCTGGGCTCCCTTCAGCACATTTTGTCCTAGTTCTGACTGCTGAGGAATGTCACTTGTCACACTTGACAGTTAAGCTTGAACCACTGACTGTTCTGAGCCCAGTGGCCCAGAAGTTTTTCACCCACCTTGTAGTTTGTATCCTCAGTCTGGCTACAAGGCTGCTGTGAGACACGCTAGCGGAAGCCTTGTTGGTGTCAAGGTAAATGGCACCTGCTGTCTCCCCTCTGCCAGAGTCAGTGGGGGGTCAGGCAGAATGCACCCTTGGTGAATTGGCATTGACTGGCTGCTCTGCATCGCCTGCTATTGTACCTGGAACAGCTTCCACAATGCCTTATTCTGTAACATTCCTGGGGACTGAAGCAAGGCTGAAAAGCCTGCGGTTCCCCAGATCTTCTTTCTTGCCTTTTTGAAGGTGGTAGGATTATTTGCCTTTTTCCTCATCTCTGTGACCTTTCAAAGATGCCAGCAGCCTTGCAGTGACATTAGCTAGTTGCATTTACAGTTGCTTCAGGAATCCGTTTTCCAGCTGTTTTTTTTCCTTGATATTTCTGGCAGGTAGAATTGGGAGAGGTGGGCTACATTAATATTCATTTTGCTCTGAATCCATGCTAATGAACTATGTAGGATTCTGGTTTTAATTAAAGAAAATAAACCCTGCTTCATTCTTGTCTAAAAATGTTCATAAGACAAATTTGCATAATCAGCATTTTAATATGCAGCTTCCCAAGTTCTGCCCTGGTACAAAAAGCTGTGGTTTTCTCAGTAGAATGTTGCAATTTGCTCTTTGTGAGTTATTAATAAAATTACTTTGACCTGCATATGTTGGTTTTGTGCGTTTTTTTTTTTCTTCCTTTTGCTGATATTGAGGACACAATGAGCAACAGTGTTACTGGAATTGTTAATCAGTTTTTATTCTTTGTGCTGACACTGACTTGTTCTGTAACATGGGATAAAGCACTGTGTGCCTCAGTTTATTGAGCTGTGAGGGAGAGAAGAGTAGACTTAGGCACACCGAGCTGATTTTCAGTAAATTCCTTGTGGTTACACAGGACATGCAGCTCCTCAGCAATGGTCATTGAAGTATTTTGGGATGAATTTGCTCTTCTCAATGACAAATTATGTCAGCTGGGAAGATGTGCTGCTTGCTCCAGCTCTTAATGGATGATGAGCTGACTGCAGCCTCTGTGGTGATCCAGACAGATAAAATACAAGCTCCTGCTTTGCAGTCTCCTGAATAAACTTGACTCTAGAAATAAGTTGATACTTGGGCCTACCTGGATTTTCCCAATATAGCAGATGATGGATAATGGAACTTTCCCACCGCTCTCCCCTCTGAGCATGTACACAGTCATTCTTCAGTAGGCAAGTGTTTTCCTCACTTTGTAGCAGCATTACTATTAACCATTTCTAGGTGTTTTATTTCTTTAACCGTTTCTGGAAGTGAAGTTGCAATTTTGAAGTGAAATTGTGCTAAGCTTTATCTTAAAAGTTGGAAAGGGTAAATAAAAAAGCCATATGTTTCCTGCTTTAGGGTCTTGTGTTATAAGCTAGATGAGATGCAGGGACACAGCTGACCTTCAGCCTGCCAGTGAGGGCTCAGTTTGTGACAGGGGGTGCAGGCACAACCCAGGCTTGCAAAATGCAAGCCCACCCAGTGCTCCATTCAGCCCGTACTGGCTTTCGTGTGGTGGTCCATAAGCCTGTTTGAAAAATCAGTGTTACTAGCAAATAGGTAGTTTAGGTGTAGTCACACATATCAGGTAGGCTTGCATGGATGCTGTGCTGTGACGTGCCCCATTGGCTCGGGGATTTGTGTGCCACTTGTCTAGAGGGAGCACTTGAGTGTTCTCTTGTACAGCACACTGGGGCTTCCTGGTCCCAGAACAAACTTTGGGGATTTTTCAAGGTACAGCTACAGGAATAAATGACAGTTATTGCCTGCAGCAGGTTTTATTCCTTTGATTTATATGCCACAGAAAATTGTGTTTCTGAATGTAAAGTAAAATGACAGCTTTCTCCTGGTGCTGGTATCAGCCCCTGGTATCCAATCTAATTCATCCCCCTTCTGCTTTTGTTTCTTTTTTTTTTTAACAGAAGCCAATGTGAGACTGTTTTTTCCTCCTATGGGCCTTTCCATTTTGATCTCTCTGCCAAAGAAGAAGTGGAGGCAGCAGGATGGGCTCTTATCCTCTAACAGACTGGGGGAGTGACCAGGAAGAGAGACCAGGTAATGCATTCTCCTCGGGAGATTTACAGTTTGGAGCAGTGATGAGGGACGGACAGTAAAGCCACTGCCCGCAGCAATTGCTTTCAACAGCTCGCTGATGTAGGATGTGACCTGGGAAGCAGGACTGAACCACCTTGTTTTGTTGCCTCTCTGGAGGAATATATACACCTGGTACAGCTTCCATCTCCTGGATGTCAAAATAACACACGATCACCCTGCTGAAGATCGTTCATCATTTTCACAGCACAATGCATTCTGCTGCTGAGAGGTGGCGGGGGCTGTGGGGTCTTACTGTCAACACTTTTGAGTCTGTGCCCTTTAGTGCTATAGGTGTCTTTGAAAGGGTGAAAGCTTTGCTCTCTGAAAGTGTTTTTTGTCAGCCAGGAAAAAAGCAATTTGGTGCTGGTATAAAGATTCCACACCTGCAAAGAGATTACATGAGAGATTACAGAGGGAGGAAACAGCTGGGCAGAAAAAAGCATTAATAGAAAACACTCCAGAATGTGTAGAGAGGTGGGAGGGAGAGCATGCCATTCCTTCAGATGGAAAATGCAGTTTATTTTCACGGTAATTTTTGTGTTTGTTTTTTTTCTTTCTTTTTTTCCCCCCCCACATACCTAAAAGTGCAAAGTGAAATTGATTTTTGTTCCAAAAACATCAGTCTGATGTACACGTAGTGGAAAAACTTGGTATATTGATGTAGTATGAAAATTTATGTAAGTAGTTCCAGCAGCGTCATGTTGGCAGCATTAACTCAGGCAAGGGGAATATTTCAACTCCTCCAGGATTAGAGTTGAAAAAAAAAGTTAGGAGAAAAGGTACTGAGTGCAGAGATTTGAAGATAGCTTTTTTGATACCTAGGTATTATTTTCTGCTTTAATCCAAACTTTTCCAAAGTGGCATCTACCCCATTTTCTCATGAACATCTTGAGAGGCTTTTTTGGAGTGGACTCAATGCAAACTGTGGATGGACAGTAGGATTTTTAATAATTTAGGTGGGCAAATGACTGCAAAATCTGTGACACTGCCCTCCCTTGTTGTATGTCCTGGGGCAAGTTTCTTGGGCTGGATTTTTTAATGAAAAGACATTTCACAGCCAGTTGGTGGTTAACTAGTAACATCCATATCAGACACTTAGGGCTGCCTAAAAATAGGTGAAGGGAAATGCTGCTGGTGATGGGTGTCTTGCCCTGGGCTGCTGGGAGCAGGAGCTGTGCTGCTTCTTGCAGCTGCGGGAGCTGGGAGCTGCCTGTCCTGGTTGCTGAACTTGACAAGTATAAATCTGCATGCACTCAGAGCATCGGGTCCCACTGGCAGAACAGGCACTCTCCTGCCTGGTTTCTGGCTCCAGGGAACTTATGAGAAGGGACAGTTTCCCAACAAAGGCTATCATTTAATATCAGCTGGCAGACAGCACTGCACATAAAGACTGAGGTGCAAACTGAGCAATGCTTGAAAGAATATCCCTTTGTAGCCAAATCATGGATTTAGATATTTGGCCAGGCAGAGGCTGTGGACCTGACCTGTGCTCTGCTCAAAAATGACATCATCTGTTTGAGAGTCTTCCCTGTGAAAATGATAGAAATTCTCAAGATTCCCTCCCCTCTCCTCTGAGTAGGGTCACTACCACTTGTCTTCTATTTCCTCAAGCCAAATAAACATATCAACTCATTGGGGGATGAATTAGTGTTACAATTTAAATATTCCTGGCTCAAAGATCCAGATTTGATCTGATTTGCTGCATGCATTGTGATTTTACAGCTTGATTCCCAAAACATTTTGTGTTTGCAAAAAGATACTCCTCTGCTATACCTGCAATTTGAGAAATTTGTTTTTTATGTGACTGAGTCACTAGTTCTCATTATTTATTAATTGTATAAATACCCAGATAAGGCAAAGAAGCAAAATTTGACAAAACAGAGCGCTTGGGGAAAGATTCAGCAGTTAAAGGATTGTCAATCTCTTTCAATTCTGTCTTCCCCTGCTGCAGTTCTCTCTGGGATACCTGCACTAATTTTGTTTCATTGTCTGTGCTGCTTCTCAGGGTGCCAATTAATAACTGTTGTGCCTGTCAATGAGCCATATTGGCTGGTAGAAAATTGGGCTGGGTATGCTTTGGGATTGCCTTTGGTCACGGACACAGCCCAGAGCAGCCAAGCTGAGCTCTGGGCTCTGGTTTCCCCTGTGATCACAGGCACTTGAGCTGGGAGAATTTGATTTGGGTTCACCCTCAGGCTTTTTTTCCCACCAAATGATTCAGGCAACTTAAAACTGACCTGCTATTCATGGGAAGGAGGCAAGTTGTCCTTGGTGATGCTGTAACAAGGGGACACAAAGTTGTGGCTGGGTTATGCACAGGCTGCTACCACAGGTCTCGGGCTCAATCCTGCTGCCTGCCACTGGAGTTCGTCCCAGAGTCTGCAGTACTTGCTCACACACCTTGCCTTGCAAATAGTGTTTGTTTTTTGGACTTGTTTTGGGGGGTTTTGTTGTGTGGGTGTTTTTTCTGTTGTTTTTTTTCTCGTTTTGTTGTTGGATTTTTTGTTTGTTTATTAATAAACAGCCCTAGTAATTCTATTCTGCAGCTTTTTACTTCAGTATTTTCAATTTAGCACTGATAGTCTTGATAGTTTTTCAAAGCCAAAGAGCAACCTTCTCCCTCCTTTCTTCTGTGTCTCAAACAAGTAGCATCCAATTTTTTCTGTCTTTGTAGGAAAATTATAAGCCATTATTGCTGGCTTTCAGGTGGATTCATTTTAATGACTCTCATACATAATAAACATCGGTAGATGACTGCCCAAATGTAGGACAGGATCAGGTGTTGATCCAGAACAGTTTGGAAAGGTGGCACCTAGGTCCTTCTCCCACCCACACCTTCCTCTTCCTCCCTGACACCAGGGTTGTGACCATCTTTCACACCTCTTGAACATGAGACTGCTTAAATTTGTAATTCTCAAACTCACTGGGAGAACTAAGTGGGAAAGCAGCTTTCCACTATCATTGTCTGAAAGTTAGTGCTGGAGCTTGTTTGTATTCAGCACTACAGAATTGCTGTTCCAATGCCAGAAACTCTGTGCAGGTTCCTACCTTGTAAGGTACCTTACTGGTAAGATAATTCTTTTCCCCAATGCTTTATTAGGTGGGTGGAAAGCAGGGTGGAAGGGGTGGATGGCATCTTCCTTTGAACTCATATTATAGGTATGAGCTAATGGATAAAACTCACCTTGTTCTAACATCTTTAGTCTCCTTGGCCTCTGCTCAGGACAGCAGCAATATAGGTTGCTACCTGAGCAACCTCAGAGCAGTTGGCCCTGGCTGCTGTGGTTCTTGCCTACTTGAAATACATTTAAATCTATATTTGATGCTTCAGTCCTGTTTTCAGACATTTCTCAGTTGTAAGTTGAAGCAAGAGAGGGAATGTGTATTTCTCACTACAGCCAGATACAACTGGCCATGGCAGTACCACCCATCCTGCAATCTTCTTTTGGACACCTACAACGCATGTGGTCCATGAAGAGCATCAGCTGATGTACAAATAAGAGAGACATAGCTTAGCTGTGCACACAGATTATACCCCGCTTATCCCCCTCT